CAAAAACATACAAAGATGAAATATGAGATGTAGTGCCTATGGATGCCTGCCATTTGTTGTTGAGAAGCCAATGACAGTATGACAGGCGTGCCACTCATGAGTCATGATGTTTTAAAACGCACTTAATCCTTTGTCAAAGATGGAGTTAAAGTGATTCTGGGACCCTCTAAGACGGAAAGTGCTTCAAAATTAGAAGAGGGCAGAACTAATCTCTTATCTTTGACAGAGTTCATGAAGGCTTTGGGTGAGTAGGATGTGTTGTATGTTGTGGTGCCAGTTGAAGAAAAGCCCATTAGTTCCATTCCTCCTAAGCTAGAGCCATGGATGAGGAAGCTCAATGATGTCATTACCGGATGATTTTCCAAAGAGATTACCTTCTATGTGAGACATCCAACATCACATCGACCTAATCCCTAGTTATAGCCTCCCAAATAAAGCAGCCTATAGAATGAGCCCTAAGGGGCATGAGTTACAGAGGTAAGTTTCAGAGTTGCTACATGAGGGGTTTATCAAGGAGAGTATGAGCCCATGAACAGAGCCAGCATTGCTGACACCCAAGAAAGATGGTTCTTGGCACATGTGTGTGGACAGCTGGGGAATTAATAAAACTACCATAAAATACCACTTTCCGATACCGTGCCTGGATAATATGTTAGACATACTGGTGGGGGGCATGATTTTCTCTAAAATAGACTCAAGAAGTGGTTACCATCAAATCAGAATTAGGATGGGTGATGAATGGAAGACAACGTTTAAGACACGAGGGATTGTATGAGTAGCTAGTTACGCCATTCGGTAATCAAACGCAGCTAACACCTTCATGAGGCTCATGAACGAAGTCTTTAAGCCATATGAAGGAAAGTATGACGTGGTATACTTTGATGATATCCTCACATACAGCACTAGTGAAAGGCAATATATGAACCGCCTAAGACTTGTGTTAGAGTTGTTACAAGGGGAGCAGCTGTATGCAAATTTGAAGAAATGTGAATTCATGACCAGTAGTTTAATTTTTTGGGCTTGGTGGTTTCTGTTAAGGGAATCAAGGTTGAAGAGAGACAGATGGCAGAGATACGAGAATGGCCAACCCCTACATCAGTCCATGATGTGTGTAGTTTCAATGGGCTGGCCACTTTTTATCGATGGTTCATTAGAGGATTCAACACCATCATAGCACCAATCACGGACCGTTCGAAGAAGGGTTCTTTCAGATGGACCGCAAAAGCAGAAAAGAGCTTTGAGAGGATTACGCAAACCATGACTGAGGCCCCCGTGCTAGCATTGCCAGACTTAGATAAGATATTTGAGCTAGAGTGCTATGCATTGCATGTTGTAATTGGAGCTATATTGTGCCAGGAGGGTAGACCAATCCCATATTTCAGCGAGAAGCTTAATAAGACACACTGACGGTACTCCACATATGACATAGAATTTTATGCAATCATTCAGGTTTTAAGACACTGGCGTCATTATCTTATTCGGCAGGAGTTTCTTTAATTTTCAGACCATTAGGCGCTGAAGTATATTAATGGGCAGCATAAGCTGAACTGCCAACATGCTAGGTGGGTGGCATATTTGCAGGAGTTTACCTCCGTGATTCATCACAAGTCTGGGAGTCAGAATCAAGTTGCAAATGCCTTGAGTCGAAGAGCATCACTTTTGACCACTATGGCAGCAATGGTGACAAGGTTTGAGAGTCTGTGTGACTTGTATGCTGATGATGACGATTTTGGAGAGATTTAGGTGCAGTGCCAAGGTGGAGTTGCAGGAGACTATGAGCTACAAGATGGGTTTCTCTTCAAAGGGAATCAATTATGCATTCTTGTTGGTTCTCTTAGAGAGGTCCTCATTTCAGAGCTACATGGTGGGAGTCATGGGGACACTTTGGATGAGACAAGACCATTGCATTGGTGGAGTCCAAGTACTAGCTGAGATGTGGCAAGGCATGTGGAGAGGTGCAGAGTATGTCAAGTCGCAAAGGGGCAGTGTCAGAACACAGGTTTACATTCCCCACTTCCCATTCACAATCTACCATGGGAAGATGTTAGCATGGAATTCGTGTTGGGTCTTCTATGGACTCAACGAGGTATAGACCTATATATTTGTGGTGGTTGACAGGTTCTCAAAGGTGGTGCACTTTATTGCTTGCAAGAAGACTCCAGACACAACTCAGGTGGCCAACTTATATTTTTGTGAGGCGGGGAGACTTCATGGGATTCCCAAAACGATTACATCGGATAAGGATACCAAATTTCTCAGCCACTTTTGGGGAACTTTATTGTGCAAGTTGGGTACCAAGCTACAGTTTAGCAGTGTTTATCATACACAGACCTATGGTCAAACTGAGGTGGTTAATCAAACCCTTAGTAACCTACTTCACAGCATAGTGGGTGACAAGAAAAGACAACGGGATTTGGCTTTGCCACAAGCCAAGTTTGCTTACAACAATTACGGCCAGAGGTCAACTGGGAAGAGCCCATTTGAGTCGTGTATGGGAAAAATCCTACCCATATGCTGGATTTGACTCCTCTACTAGCTAATGGGGAAGGACACTTAAATGCTGACAATATGATCAAACACATAAAGATGTCCATAACTAGCCACTACCAAGTACAAGGAAGCTGCAGAAAAACATAAGTGATTCGAAGAGTTTCAAGTTGGCGCTTTCGTGATGGTTTATCTATGCAAAGATAGACATCATGTGGGCAAATACAAGAAGCTAAATGATAGGATGATAGGACCATTTCAGGTGCTGAAGAAGATGGGGACTAATGCCTATGGGATCGACCTGCCAGCTGAGATTGAGACATCCAATGAGTTCAATGTTGCTGATCATTTCGAGTACCATGAACCTGAAGTAGCAATGGAAGAAGAGCTAAACTTGAGGTCGAATTCTTCCCAACCCTAGGAGAATGATGCACTTGGCAGTCCTTTGACTAGTCAAGAAAGTTCCCATGAGCCCTTTGATCCAATCAGTCTATCCTTTTATGACCCCTTTTATGATGATCCACATCCCAAGGTTGCAAGGAGATCTAGGAGAAGGCCAACTTTTTGAAGGAGTTTATTTTTAGTTTATTGTTGTTTTTGCAGTTTTCCATTAATTTCTAGTGTTTTAATTAAAGTTAGGGCAGTTTCGGAATCTTTTATGTTTTATTTTAAGTGAATGGACTTATGGGGTATTTTCACAATGTTTTAACTTAAGAGGGGGTAGTTTTGGTCTTCTTATTATCATAATGTAATTAGAGGACCAGGGGTGTTCGGGTTTCTAACACTTTTGGGGTCGTGAACACTAAAACAGATTGTGAGTAGTGTCAGAAAGCCCTATCGAGGGTTTTGGGGTCACTGTTTTATGCACGGAAAACCAAATCCACTCAAATCTGGCATGTTTTAATGGGTTACTGAACTGTTTTTTACCTCTGTTCTCTATTTTCCTGCATCAAGTATGAATTGACCATGGCATAGGTATGTAATAGTTTTTTCTATGTCGTGGAATAACGGATGAATTTTAGGCAACTTCCAATCTTTATAGCTTTTCTATTTCAAACTCATATATGTGTGATTTTGAAATAATACAGCAAATAACACACTGACAACTATGAGACAACATTTTTCTTTTTCCTTTTTTGTAAATATTCTGTAAGTTCAATTAGGGCGTTTGGCATCTAATCCAATCCCCCCAACATCATACTTTGGAGGCAAAACACCACCCCCACCAAGATACCTAGGCGGCTGCCTGGCCTCCAAGCAGCCAAGTCCACCTTTTTCAATTTCATGGCGAAGGTTCTCACACACGAAGAGACTAACGGTAATGCAAACTGCATCCAGAAGGCATAACTCTAGAAGGGCATTAAAAGTGATTAATGACATATCCATATGTTCTCTCGAGAAGCTATGCTGGCTATCCCCAGAAGTTTTCCAAGATTACTTTCATCCCGAGGCCTAAATGTCAGTCTTAAAATTCGTCAACAAATAATTTTCTTTTAGGTCTCTATAAAATTTTGAGTATCGACATGATATTCTATAATGGTGCTTAATGACTGTTATTCATTATAGAAATTAAAAAAAAAAAATTTAAAAAGCATTATAAAGCGCCACAGCTATAATAGAAATTTAAAGAAATGTCAACCTAAGATTTTATAGTCAAGATTAAATCAAAATTGAGGTTCATTTCAAAATCAAAAGAAGCCATGTAAAGCTTTGGTCAGGAGATGGTTTTTATCGTACAAATAATTTAATGAATTTCCAATTATAGGATTCATCATGTTGCTGTGGCATGCATGCATGAGGCTCTTACAGTTGCCCTGCAGAAGGTTCACCTAGGTCTCCCACTAAAAACTGCAGTGATGAGCAAGATCAGTGTTTTTTCCTTTTGCTTTCTCTGTTTTTTTTTTTTTTTTTTCTCTTTACAATCCATCTACTCTATCTGCTGTTCAGGGTTTACCCTACATCAGAAAGTTATGCCTGGACCTCCATAGATAGAGGTTGATGACCAATAGATGTGTGCACATACAATGTACATAGATGGTTATAGATAAATAGATAGATATGACCAGAATACTGGGACCTCGAGGAATTCATATCCAAACAATTTTGTTGTTTGTGAGCGCAAGTCATTGAGCCATATAGCAAGAGAAGCGGCCACAAGTGGAATGGAGAACAATACCCGCAAGAGTGGCCAAGATAGTTTATGATGGTTGGCCTTTAGCCTATGGCCAGCAGGAAGTGGTGAAGCCTACTGGAAGAGAAAAGGAGCAGTTTTAAGTGTTTCACAGGCCCCTTGGGAAATGTAGTCGGTTGCTGAGCATGCAATTGGTGCATGTTTCCCATTATATTGTGCTTATGGTTATTATTCATTGCCAATCCAAAAAACAAAAATTGGCAAAACATTGCAAGGAGAGGACAACAGTCCATATTTTCTTTATTTTGCCTCTAAGGATATTCTAGAGCCATAAGAAAGCATCAGTAAGAAAAACTAAAGAAGTCTAGAAAAGGAAACTCACCATAGGTACCACAATATCGTCTTGGCAGGTTTCTTTTAAGAAAGTGTATGAGAGTAGTCCAATGCTTTCAGTTTTAAACCTGATAATAAAAGGTCATTATTACACATAAAATACTATAATCCAAAAAACAAATTTCTCAAATACCAATATTTCCCAATTTCAAGTGTTTTGATTCGGAGAAAAACTTTTCCAAGATAAGAAAATGAAAAGAAAATAAATTTGACAATTCAGATATGTAAAAGATAAACAGAAAATTAGAAATGGACCCCTTGGCCTAGAGGTCAAAGTGGTGGCTCCACAACATGACGTCAAGGGTAGTTGTTGGGATCGGGAGAGGGAACGGTACTAAGATTGGGATCAGAAGTGGGGGATCCTGAAATGCTAGAAGAACCCTATAGTTGGGAGAGTCGTCCGCACATTGCACATGTTAGGGATCGAGATTCCAACCTTTTTGGAGACCTTGATCCCAACCTTTTGAGATCTTGATCCCAACTTTTTGGGGATCTTGCCATCAACCTTAAAGTATATGATAATCTAGGACTATATACATCCTTTAAAGTAGGGATCTCCTGATATATACTAAGCAAGCAATGCAACTATATTAAAAGTATAGTTGTATTTCTAGCAAGTTATAAATAAAGAAACCGCAAAATTGCATAAAACCCCCAATAATAGACTTTCTAGGCACTTTACCCCCACCCTAATTTTTCTTAGCATAATTTTCTCAAAAATCAAGTTTTATAGAAAATACCCCCCCAATACAAAAGGTTCAATTTTTTTGACAAAAATACCCTTCCCGTATATAACAAATCATTTTCGGATCCCAATAAAAAGAAACGCCGGACCGCGATTGTATATTGCCGAATCCATTGATTTTGCCAGACCAAAATTGTATAGTGCTGGGCTGCAAATTCCAAACATAGTTTTCAATTTTGCAGGACCGTAGTTCACAAATGCTAGACCACTCATTAATCCGAAAGCAAATGCCGGACCGCCTCTTCCAAACTTTGGACCGCCATGATGAAGAGCCGGACCGCCATGGTGAAGTGCGGACCGTTCCAAATCAGTGACTTAAGCAAAGGACCGCCTCTTCCAAAAGTTGGACAGCCATGGTGAAATGTCAGACCACCATGGTCAACGTGTGAGGTAAGGGAGGGGTATTTTAGTCTCATTTCTTTTTTTTTTAGTTGGGGGGGGATTTGCTAAGAAACATGGTTTTGGGGAAAAAATTGCTAGTTAGGTTGGGGGTAAATTGCTTGAAAGTCCATTTTTGGGGGTTTTATGCAATTTTCCCTAAAGAAAACCATCAGTTTGGTTGTTGCCTTGATCTTTAAAGTTGGGATTGAGATCCTTGATAGTAGGAATCGAGATCCCCAACAATGGGGGTCGATATTCCAAAAATTAAAAAAGAGATCCGTTCCTGGAGCGATAGAATCGAGATCCAAGAAGGGATCGTAACCTACCAAAGTAGGCGATTGCAGTAACTATGGTTCAACTACTACTGCGTTAATATGTCACAATATAAAAAAGCAAAAAACTCTCCTTTCATCTAAAGCATGTAGAAGACTTTCATTTCATTAGTTATCAAATGAATTATAGATATATTCTTAGAACAAAAGACTTAAGAGATTTATCTGATATTAGAATAGAGCATCATTGAAGAAAGAGGGCATCTCCTGTATAAGAAAATCACAACCTAACACGGAAATTAGTATAAGGCTTTCATAAACAATTAGGTAAATCAGGAAGACTTCAATACTTGAAAAAGAGCAGATAGCTCCGCAACAATTGAACATAAGCCCTGTGCACAATCCAGATTCAATGGGCTTCTCAAAGGTTTTAAGCATCAGAAACCCCAAAAGAGAAGGCACATTGAACTTCCATAAAAATATCTGGTAATTTTTGTAGCTCTAAAACTTCGAAAAAATTTCCACCTTCACAATAACGTCAAAAATCAATGTGGTTAATGCTGGATATCCAGGAAATCAAGAAAACAAAATAGAGAAGTGTAATAAAAGTTTCAATCCATGTATTTGATTGATTTGGTGCAGTAGTATCAAATAAAAGGCACCATCTAGTAAGAACTGAGGAACCTAAAGGAGTGAATCCTAGACCACTATCTTAGAAATAGAAACCACAAAGCTCTCCAAACGATAAGTAATGCCCATGACCAAACTCACTTTATAAAACATACTATAAGACACAGAAACTGAAAAACAGTCTAACTCACGAATCTCGAGTACTACTGCAACACATCCCAATGGAAATCTATAAAAGCAAGTACTCTCTAGAAGGTCATGGATTGCATTTTCAAACTTTATCTAGAAGGATTCCTCTCGAAAAAGAAAATTGACAACAAGAAGTCAGCACATGTATGTAAACAAAAGCAACAAGTCAGAGCACACAACCCTCACATAACAACGGTTTTGCTTGTTTCTCTTAGGAGATCATTTTATTGTCTAATCCTCCTTTTTGTTATATGTCATTTTGTGTCACTTTTGGCTGGTTGTTCTTTGTTTGGTGCTCATGGTTTCTTTCGTTTAATGGAGGGAATGGCTGGCAACTTTGGATGAGTGAAGCAATGAAATCAAAAAAGGAAGATGAAAAGGCATGAAGATGGGACAACTACTAAAAACGAAATACAAGAAAAGCTACCCTAGGAACTAATGGTATGATGTTGTGCCAGGAAAAGGAGAAAGGCACACCCAAAGTTTCAATCTGAGAGAAGGTCAAAGAATGATAATAATAAAAAATAAATAGATGACCACTTGGAGTCAACTGTTGAGCGAGTTGGCTGGAGCACCAAACAACCAAGAAATTATTATTTTGGGAGGTAGCTTCCCAATTAAAGCATACCATTGTTACCAAGTAGATGTGCAAATGTTGTATTGGCAAAGAAGCTCGCATATGACAGAGCCAAAGAAAATTTGTGAAGTTCTCATTCTGAATGAGCCATTCGTAAGAATAACGTGTTGATCCCACATGTAAACAATTGCACTAGGATCTGGAAAATAAGTACATAAATGCCCACGTACAAATAGCGTGTCACATGCCAGAACTACCCGTGAGCTACAAGGCGAAGTACATCATTCCCCTCCCCCTTCCCCCCCCCCCCCCCCACTTTCCCAAAAAAAAAACTCAACTTGGCATAACCTTTCAACCCCTCCCGTGCTCACCTCTCATTCCTCCCAATCATATTGCTATCTCTATGATCTTGGTACACCAAGTCCCTTCTTCCACTCAGTCCTTTTGTCCAAACTCTTGCATTTGACAATAACTGCAGTCTCTTGTTCCCTGTTCCTGGTCACTCGTCCCTCACAAACCTTGACATCGGTTCTGCCTATGTTAAAAATTCCCATTTTACTCAGCCAAAAGCTGCTACAAGAAATATTTGGCCATCCAACGGTTTTCTCTTTTCAGAATAGGCTTTTCCCTTCCCTTGCATGCACCTCACCATGGGTCTTTGTTCAAAGCAGCTTCCTTTCACCCAAAGTCCCCAAAAGGAGCCCTATGAACTGTTCGGTCATATGGCCTTTCAAGGCCTTGTCACCATGTAACTCATACCCTTTTACGGTTGTGTTGGCTCTAGAGCAAGCTCGAGCCCCTAAAGGGAACGTTTGGGTGGCCAACTAACCCACTGTGACTCACCAAGCACAGCAGACTTGGACCTAGAAGAGGTGTCTCCGAGTCACAGAAACCCTTGACCACTGGTTTTGAGTAGTAGCCCATTTACTGTGAGGGTTTAAGTGTAAACGCTCAATAGAGGTCAGTGGGTGCCCCTGGTCGGTGCCAAGACAACGTCTTCCCCTGTGGAAGAGGTGACCTGTTAGGGCAAGGGCCAAATCCTCGACAACAACCTCATCCACGGCATGTCCATATGACAACTATATTTTATGGGAAGCGCGTTCCCGGTAGAGCACCCAATGAAGGATGTGCAACGCGTGCAAAATGAGAAACTCCCACATCCTTGGGTGGTGCTAAGTGTACTTGTCCTTGGGACGCACCTATAATCCTCTAAACTTTGGAACTCCACCGTCTATTTGTTGGCTTTGATAGGCCACTCATGAGCCCTAGCTAGGGATTGAGAGTCATGGGTCCCGTTGGTCAATTTGAGAAAATGGTACAGTGTTTCAGGGTAACCCATTGGAGTGCCCTAGATCGGTGATTGCAAACCTAAGTTCCCTTGATGATTTTTTCTGAAAACCCAAACCAGCTTGGTTTCATTAATCATATTAAATAGTGATTTTAAAAGATTTTGGGGATTTTTCAAAAAAAAATCTAGATGAGAAAATAGTGAAATGCAACAAATCTAGAATACAAAATGAGGAACCAAACATGTGGAAACAATAGAAAATTTGAGGTCTGAATGGCGAATGGACCACACATGAACCCTTACCACACATTAACCCCATGGTGGGCCATGAAGTTATGAAGTAGGGGTGACATGAGCACCAAGGACCCCCTTGGTGTACTTGTATTTATTGTTGATAACTCATGTGGTATTCTGAGTTTAAGGCACATATCACGGGAGATCAAGGGCAAGCTTTGTCTTTCCCCAAAGGTGAAAAGGCATATTTGTCTTTGGATCAAGGCTAGACTCATGTCATAAGATGGCCCATCCATGTGTAAAGTAACCTAGGCTACATTTCAACCTTCGATAGTAACACGTGATTTAGTTAAAGTGAGAGAAAAATCTTTAACAATATTCCATTTGTGTCCTCTTGTGAAAGGAGAGATCGGCTCCCTTGTGTGGCATGCCACTCTCTTTCTCTCTCAACCTTCTCCAATTAATAAATGTGTATAAATTAAAAATGAAGATTTTCTTATGGGTTCATGTGATATTACAAATATAAGGTATGTATAGCTTTAAATCAAGGGGAAGTAGGGTTTGGAAAGCAAGGGGTTAAGGTGTCAATCTCAACCCTTGATTGATGATAGTTCCTCAAGAGTTGAAAGGCTTGGATGAAGCTTCTCTTCACCCTATAAATTTCCTGGATATTGCTATAAGTAAAGAAGAAACTTCTTTGCCCAAATTAAACCCTGACTCTCACATACAAAAAGGGGTCATGAGAGGCTCAT